GAGCAAACACCCATACATAAACACTGAGTCAAACTAGAACCCAGAAGCAGATGGAGAGGACAAGACCATGCGGTAGAAGTACATAGAGACAGCTTACCTGAACAAGGAGGAGCTAAGGGCCACTAGACTGATAGCTGGGAAGCCAACAGGGGTCTGACTCGGACCCCCCTGAATATGGGTCTCAGCCAGAAGGTCTGAGCAGTCTAAGAGACCTCAGACAGTGGAGCCAGGATGTATCCCTGGTGCACAAAAGGACTTTGCAAACATATCCCCCATGGAGGGATAACTGCCTTATTCTAGAGATAGGAGAGAAGCCCTAGTCCCTACTTCACAGGACCTGTCAGATCTACATGACCCCAACTGGATGGCATTCCCCTACATATTGTATTGTGGTGGGGGGTTGGGAGGGGAGGGTGTTTAGAGTGCATGGGAGAGGGTAGAGAGGGCAAAAGGGAGGGAAGGAGGGAGGGAGGGCTTGGGGGGAGGGAGGGAGGGAGGGAGAGGGAACTGGGATCGACATGTAAAATAAAAAAAAAAAAAAAAAAAAAAAAAAAAAAACGCTTTGACTCCAAAATTTAAGTTGAAGAACAAGTTACTGGGGAAAAGTATTTCTATTTTTGTTTCCACAGAAAATGAAAAGATGTGGATTCCTTCCAGACTAATGTGGTTTGATCACACCAGACCGCCTGAAACAGAGTACAAGCTGATCCTACATTCCAAACAGCTGGACAAAACAGCCCTACAGACTACAGCTAGGATATCTGAATCTTCTTCGAATCCCCCAAGACAGCGCCCCTTACCAGCAGGAAGTAGTTTGGAAAGAACGACGCCCAAATTCCCAAATATTGTGTATAAATGTTTGTTTTCATTTAATTGGACTTTGTTATATAAAATTAAATAAAAAATACTCTATATGCATAAAAAAAAATAAATCACACAGAGCAATAAAAAAAAAAAAAAAGACAGGATTTCTCTCTGTATTGCTTTGGATCAACTTTCAATTCTAACATTTTTCTTTCCTTGCATTTTTCTTAATATTTTTCTTCTTAGTTTGACTTGGCATTTAAACATCACTTGAACTATATATCCAAATGTATTCCTGTTTTGGTTGTGAGTTAACTTGTAGTTAACTTTCATTCCAGAGTTCTTAAAGATTTCAAATTTCTATTAGATGCCAAGTTGAGCTTAGAATCCCATGTCTATAGTCTCAGCTAATTGGGCAGCTGAGGTAAGAGGAGTGGATTAGTTCAGAGGCAATCCTGACAATGTAGTGAGATTCTATCTAAAAACAATAAATGTTATTCTAATTTAGCTGCATTGCAGTAAAACTTGTCTATTATTTGTCCATGTGCTTGTAAAAGTGCTTGTAAAAGTAGATGTTTGGCTTTTTCAGGAATTCCTGTGATATTTGGACGAATGTTTGATGTATTCTATTATTGTCTACATTCTCAGCAGCCTTTTTTCATTCAACTAATGTCACTGACCTAGAGAAGTGACAACCATCATACTCTTATGTCTAATCTTCTGGTACCTCCTATTACATTTTATGTTGAATATCAGTGTTCTAATATTTCAACTCTTGGTTAACAATTATTATATCTATACTGTGAATTTATTTATTTTTTTCCTTTTGAGACAGGATTTATGTTAACAGCTCTGGCTGTCCTGGATCTTGCTTTGTAGACCAGGCTGTCCTTGAACTCAGATTGGCCTGCCTCTGCCTCCTGAGAGCTGCAATTAAAGGTGTGTGCCAACCTGCCTTGTGTGAATTCATTTTTACTGTTTTTTTTTTTTAAACCTCAATCCAGAAAAAGTTTAACTTTTTCTTCTTGGTATATTTTCACTTTTGGTCAACATTTTAGCAGTAATTGTTAGGTGCAAACTAATGCTGCAAGCAAGATTCCTGACCTTGTCTAAAAAAGTATATTCCTATGTGTCTCTTACTGGCCAACAGTTCTATCACAAGAAATTTTTCAATATGGGTATAATAGGGAATATTGAATGACTTGTTCTTTTTCACAAATAACCAGATTAAAGGGAGTTTTTTGTTTGTTTGTTTGTTTGGTTTTTTTAAGGGAGTGTGCTCTCTATGTGAGTGACATCTAAATACAATTTAGCCAGAACTTCTCCAGAAAAACAATGATAGGTAAGGGAGCCCACATAACTATCAGGTAACATTGTCAACCTCTTCTCGAAGCCATTTGCCAGTGATTTTATCAGCAGGCACCCAACACAAAGGCTGCCATACAGACAGCATAGGCAGCAGTTTGAATGTGAGAGCAGCTCAAAATCTAGCAGACAGGAAGCAGGGGAAGCTCTGCTCTAGGACAAGTTTTTGGCTAGTTTTCTTTTAGGAGTGTTAACTGGGAGACTTAGGAAAGAATGTGAGATGGGAGAGAAACTCAAAACCCGGAGTAGGTGGGGGGGGGGGGGCTTTAGTGGTCCTGTGTGGGATAGGCAAACTGGTTGAAGTCTCAGCAGCCATGTTTTGACACTGAGCATTCTTTATTTTAGCCTGCCCAACACATCTTTTCATTGTTAAGGCCTTACCCTTGAAACAATGAGAACTTTGAACTATCCCCACTATAATCTGATGCAATATGTTCAAACTGTGGTGAGTGCAAAGTCAAAGAAAGCAGGGCTGCTGGGCGTGGTGGTGCACGCCTCAAGACCATGGAGCATGTATTTAAAGGGGGAAGATAGGATTGCATTTTAAACATTTTAACTAAAAATAACACATTAACATAAAAGTTAGAACCAGGCAGGCATAACAAACCCACTAATATCAAACACTTAGGAAGCTGAGCCAGTAGGGGCACTGAGTTTGAGGTCAGCATTGCTTACATAGTACCACACTAGCCAGGGTATATAGCAAGGTCTTATAAAAAAACAAAACAGTAATTATTCCCTAATGATACTTGCCCCTCTCAGCAGTTAACACTACTATAACTTAGCCGTACCTAGCCATATGGTCTCATGAAATTACGATATTAGCTGGATAGGCTCTCTATGGCCTAATGATCTGTCAACTTCAAGGGATAAGTGAGCTCTGCTTCAGTGACACAACTAAGACTTCAATTTGTCACCTTTGCTAAAGCCTTGTTACCTTGAGAAAGCTAACAGCAATGTTTGAACCTGTTTTGCTGTTTGGATTATTATCTGGGGTTGACAAGAAGGTTCAGTGGCTAAAGATATGTGCCAGCAAGACTTATGAGCTAATGTCTATCCCTGGGACTAACATGGCAGAAGGCAGATTCACACAATCTGCACACACATAAAATGCAGTAAACAATTGTTATTTGTGGTGTGCAACAAAGGAACACAATTTAAATAGGCACTTGGGTGGCATTGCTGACAGGTTTGTGTCACACGTTTACAAATGATGAGATCTTCATTGATGATTTGCAAATCCATCAAAACTAATGATATATAAATACCCTTTGGTCAATGCACTTCGTACTTTAAGACCAAATTACTTATCATTAAGATTTTTAAAGCAAAAGTAATTCTTATTTTAAAATTACAGAATCTGGATTGAAATGTGCTATCACTTTAACAATTTTAGGTTCTTTGTAATGTAATCCTAAATTTAGCCTCTTTTTTTTTTTTTTTAAATACCTAGGGTATAGAGGGTATAGTATTGCCATGACCAAATATCTGATGAGAAAGCATTGGAGTGTTTATTTTGGCTTACAGCTCTAGGGGGCATAGCCCATCAAGGCAGGGAAGAAATAGTGGAAAGGCATGGGACAGCAAGTCACACTGTATCTAACCAGGAAGAAACAGGAAAGGAAGAGAAGCCAGCCTGGTCTATGTATCAAATTCCAGCTTACCTAGTGTTAAGAGTAAGATCCTGTCTCAAAAGAAAATGGGGTCAACATACTAAACTTCAAGGCCCACCTCTAATGACTCATGTCCTCCAGTAAGGCTTCATCCTTTAGAGGTTACACTGCAGCTCTGCCCCCCATGCAAATAACCTAAGGTCATTTCACATATTAGGCCAAAACAGGTATATTTAATTGTTAAAGAGTACACAAAGTACAACTTAACATTTTAACAATCATTCATGTCCTTGGCAATTTGTTCAGCTGTACAGGGAAGTTACAAATTGTAACCAGAGATCTTGTTTTTTTTTTTTTTTTTTTTTTGCATGTGTGTTTACACATTAAAGTATATGTGGAAGTCAAGTTGATCTAGTCTAGTATTCTTCAGTAGCTCTCTACCTTACAAACTGAGCAGGGTCTCTCTCTGGCTGAGCCTGCGGCTCCCTGGGATCCCATCTCTGCTTTCCCAGCTCTGCAATCAAGATGGGCCAGCATTGCCATCCAGTGTTTACCTGGAAAAAGCCAAGTATCCTACTCAGAGCCAACTCCATGGGACGTTATTAAGAGCATACTTATGTTGTAAGTAATATAACCATGTGAGAGTGGCCACACACATCTGTAGCCCCAGCACTGAGGAAGCTTTGCAAGTTCAAGACCAGCCAAGACATAACATACCTACCTTCTCAAAAACCAAGAAAATATATTATCAAGTTCTCATCTGTTTTTATTTGGAGGTACTACAAATTCAACTTAGGGACTTCTTTGCATGCTAAGTAAGCATTCTGTCACCTACCTTTCTAGAGGTAAGTAGCTTCTAGGCAGGTTTCTGTATAACCCTGGCTGTCCTAGTACTCACTCTGTAGACCAGGCTGGTCTCTGCCTCCTGAGTGTTGGGGTTAAAGGTGTGTATCAACACAATTAGCCCTATCACTGGACTTATCTCCCAGGATCTTTTTATTTTCAGACATGGCTACAAACTGCTCTTTAAAGCTCCAAGGCCTTTATTTAACTTTAGCTCTTGACTCAGCTTCAAGTAGTTGGAATTATAATAGGCCTGTTAGAGCAGATTCTTCCACATTGAAAGTATACTGTAACTTAAAAGATTTTCAATATAACAGCAGTTACTAATGTGCTCAAAACAGCCAGTTTAGGAAATTACCAAATCATCTAATCAGATGTATTTCAGAAATGTATTTATTCTAATGTTTGGCTCACTTTTCTGGTAAGCATTGGTTCACAACACATAGCACAGAAGAAACTTGAAGGTGTTTTTACAATTTTCTTATGCTATTGCTCCCCACAATATATAAAGGCAGCCCACTTACAGACTATAGATTGTGCCCTGATATTTAATGAGCCATCCCCCAAAAAACAATTTAAAAAAGGTTACCTGGCAAAATACAAACATCCCTGATTATTTCAGTTCAAGCACAGTAAACTAAACATCTTTGTTATTCCTAAACTACAAAATAATTTACACACTTAAATTGTGCTTATTTCCAACCCTCCAATTCCCATACAGCTAGTGACTATGAGATGCCTTTTCTGTACATTATCACCTAGAAAGCCAAAGGCCACTAGGATAATCAAATACCTTAGACCAAACTATAAAAACAAATCATACTAGATTAAAAGAATCACCTAAGACACGAGCAATATTCTACTTCATTATAACAGATGCAATTCACATGAACACAACCAATAAAGAACTGACCATGGCTCTCTAGTCTTCTCCATATTCTTCTGAAATCTGCAAATACAAAAACCACCTGGTTCTAGATATAAACTTTAACTTCCCTACCCATGAAAACATGTGCATTACTAGGAAAACTGCTTGGTTGTAGTTTACTATGAATAGTAGCGAGAAGCCAAATTCCAAGACTGTGATATGACTTCAGGGCAGGGGGGAAAAAAAACACAACTTCTTGAAAAGGTAAAATAGCTTAAAGCATTTAATATCTAAACAAATTAATCTGTTAATATTAGTAGTCACAAAATATGTTTAATATAGAAACCCACACTTTATGTTTTAAGAAAGTGTAAATTGCATTTCATCTCAAAACATAAATTAACCTGCTTAAGATTCAGCAGCAGTCAAAAATCATGGTGAATTTTAAACAACTTCAGAGTAAAATAACAATAAGTACTTTATACTGTTTTGTATCTTTAAAAAAAAGTTTACAACTTATCATGAAAATAGTTTGAGACAACTACGCTTATTCTTTAACAGATTTCAACATTCAAATACTGTGGTCCCCTTTTCTTTGATGCAATTTAATCAAGTTCTATAGAGGAAAACAAAAATCATGGTAGACAACTTAATACATTTCCACCAAATGGAAGTAGTACAAAACTTTTAAGGTTCTACAGAACTACACATCGTACCTAATGTCATTAAAAATAGAAGACAGTATTTTCTTCAGCAAATAAAACAGCACACTGGTATGCTGTCAATGTATACCTTTTAATATGTACTGTCATTCATAAATTATTTACAACTTCTACTTTACTGAAGAGAACTAGAATTTAATTTTCTGCAAAACTGGAAAAAAGCAATACAAAATCTGTGAAAGCCAGTGTTTTATATTATATAAAAGCCAGTTTTTCTCTTCAAACACCAGATACTGGATGCAGTGGTAACTTGGAGACATTACAGTAATTCTTGAGGATGTTTCAATGCTGGAGGTAAGTTCACAGGTCTGGACTCTTCATCCAAGAGTACTAGATCTTCTACCTCACTGCCTTTATACTTCCTTTTGCATATCTTTACCACCACCTTCTTCTTGAGAAATAACTTCAGTGCTTCTCTCGATGCAACTGCCTTTGCATTTTCTTTGCTTTTTCCACAGCCAGTACCCAAATACACTGACTTACACCTCAATTCACAAACAATACTTTCTTGAGAGCTCTTATTTTGAGGCAGATCTGCCAGTTCTTTCAATGGGACAAAAAACACATCCAGTGTTGCTTTCAGAGCTTCAATAGCTGCATTCAGCAGCTCTCCGTGATTCACATTGGGGCTAAAGCCACCAACAGCTACTAACTTCCATGCTACTGTTTTATACAGTCTATTGAAGAAAGGTTGCTTCTGTTTTACATCTTCATTGGTTAGTTTCCGACAAGAGAATTTGACAGAACTCTCACTAGACTGTGAGGTACTTTTAGAAGGCAACTGTGAAGTGCTACTCTGAGAGCTACTTTTAGAAGCTAGCTGAGACATACTTGCTAAGGAAGTGCTTTTGGAAGCCACAGAACCACTGCTCTGGGAGCTGCTTTTGGAAGCTAACAGGGATGCAGCTACCTGAGACGTGCTTTTGGAAGTCAGTAGTGAAGAATTGGTTGGACTGCTCTTGGGGGTTAGTAAAGAGGTGCCTGATACAGAACTGTTTTTAGGAACTGAGGATGACACACTTGCCTCTGAACTAGTTTTGGGTGTTAACCCACTTGAAGCTGTCTCTGGACTAGACTTAGAAGACAGTAATGGCAACTCTATTTCGGAACTTCCAGAGGAACCCAATAAGGGCAACTCAATCTCTGAGCTGCTCTGAGAAGCTGAGACAGAAGAACCTTCCAGAGCACTCTTTTTAGGTGATCCACTCTGCTGCTTGGAATCAGTGGATTGGGTCACATGACTATTCATACTGGATTTCAACAATGAAGAAACAAATGATGCTGAGCCATGTTTGTCTGGAGTTTCTGGGTCAGAAGCTTTTCCAGCCCCCGCTGTTGTTACCTGAGAGGGATTGCTGCTGCTTTGACTGCACACAGATCTATCTCCTTCACTTGTGGAGCTACTCTGATTAGTGACACAGGAGCTGCTCCTAGCCGAGGCCCCACTACTCTCAGATTTGGTGGATGACCCAGTAGATGCTGAACTGTTTTCCTGTTGAGCTGACGAACGATCTGTTTTGGCAGATTTCTTTCCATGATCTCGCTCAACTGAAGAATTGTTTTTCCCTTCTATGACTCTTTTTTTGGATGGTTCTTCTATCCCTTCTAGAAAGAAGAAAAACACAGGTATTTTACTAGGAGACCCACATACATATCAAGAAAACATTCATTAGGAAAGCACAAAGATGAGCTGGGCAGCGCTGGCGCACGCATTTAATCCCAGCACTTAGGAGGCAGACACAGGCAGTAGTCTAGAGAGTGAGTTCCAGGACAGCCAGGGTTACAGAGAAACCCTGTCTCAAAAAACCAAAATAAATAAAATAAAAATAATAAAAGGACACAAAGAAAAATATTTCAGGACTAATAGTTTCTTTTAAAATACAGAAAGATGTAATGAATATCTTTAAACAGTATTAACATGATTAATTTCTAACATTAAATTAACAGCATCAGGCATTGGACTTCAAAATCTAAACAGTCAAAGGAAAGTAACAAATTCAGCACTGAAAACAAGACAGACACACAGTTTAGCTTTAAGTCAATTAGATTAATATATTATACAAACTCTGGCTTGTTAAAATTAGTAATGACAGCAATTCCTAATTACAACAAGCTTATTTTCTAAACTCCTATGTATGTTCACATCTATGATCTGCTAACCATTGCTACTCGATATCCCTCTTTTCTTCACCTTGGCAACCAGTTCGTCTCGTGTGGTATGGATTGGAGCATCTGTCACTTTGATGCCTTCAGCCATACTAAGAATTTTATCCATAACTTTTTGAGGGTACCTGAAAGAGAGAAGCAAATGTCGCTTTCAAGAAATGTTTGTCGAAAGAAGGCGGGTGTTGGTGGTGCATGCCTTTAATCCCAGGACTCGGGAGGAAGAGGCAGGTGGATCTCTGTGAGTTCGAGGCCAGCCTGGTCTACAGAGCGAATTCCAGGATAGGCTCCAGAGAAACCCTGTCTGGAAAAAAACCAAAAAGAAAAAAAGAAAAGAAGTGTTTGTCGAAAAGCGCCCCACTGAAAACAGCATTTCCTGGTTGCAATCAAAGCATCAAAGCGTACCAGCCGCGCGACAACTTCGTTTCCTGAGACGCCACAGAACGCCATGGGGCAGCGGAGGCGGGTCTGCGCTCGCGAACCCTTAAACGGAGGGTCTCCCGGGTCCCGCCGGCTGAGAGCCAACAACTAACTGCCCCAGCCGCCGCCGGGCCGGCGCGGCCACGACCGTCACCCCCACCCCCGGCCCGGGCCGACAGAGCCCCCGATTCCCGCGCTTCGCTTCCCGACCCGCCCTCGCCAACCTCGCCGGTGCCCGCGAGCGCTCCTCCGGCGGCTGCAGGGGGCGCGGGGCGAGCCCGGAAAGGCTGGCCGGCGACGCTTCCTCACTCACCGGCACCCCAGGAAGACATGGTTGGCCCAGGCCATGGAGAAAGAGACGAGTTGCTGTAGTTGGCGACTGCGGGCCCCGCTCTCCGCGTCCGCCGCAGCTTCCCCGGGCGTCGCGGGGACCAGGTCCCCGGCGTTGCGGAGCAGAAACTCGCGGCGGTGGCGCCACTGCTTGTCCGTCTCGCCCTCGCAGCGCAGCGTCTCCACCCAGGCGGCCACTCGCGGGTTCTGGCTCAGGTACTCGGACACCTCCTGCGCCATGTTGGGCCTGTGGGACGAGGCGAGCGCGCGCGGAGCGAAGGGCGGCCAGGCGGCGGGGCGCGGCGCGGCGGCGGGCGGCCCTGTCAGCGCGGCCTGCACCGGCGGCTCTCCGGAGAACGCCCCTCCGGCGGTCCAGACCCTAAACAACAGAGCACGGCCGCCGACGAACCGCCCACTTCCGGCGGCCGCGGGCCCGCTCCCTTTTATAACCTCGCCGCCGCGCGTCCTTCCGGCGCGGGCCCGTCCTCCCAGGATGCCTTGCGGCGCCGAGCCGCGCGCGACTCAGCGGTTGCGCCCACCTCGGAGCGAGGGGGCGAGGGAGGGACGGAGGGGCCGCGCCTGGGCCGTCCGAGGCGGGGCTGAGGCGACTTGTGGGGGAGAGGGCGTGCGGCGGCCTCGGCGTTCCGGCGGCGCTTTGTGACGCCGCGCCCTGCGTCCGCCCCGGGCTGGGGGACGAGTGGGCGGGGCGTCGCGGCGCCCGGCGCCGTCCGAGTCGCCGCTTCCGCCCTCAGGCGCTCTCACGGCGCGTGCGGCCAAAATAAACAAAAGCTGGAAGGGCTGCTGCGAGCCGGGGAAACTGAACCGGGGCGGGGCGAGCCTCAGGGCGTTTGGGGACGCGGTCGTTAAAAAACAACTAGCTTGAGTGTGACTTTTAAAAGCGACTCTGAAGCCGGGCCTCGCGCTTGCGCTGCGGGCTCTGAGCTTGGTTTCCGCGGCTTCCGAGGTTCCGGGCTCCACCCAGACAGCGCCCGCTTTCTCTAACGTTTTTGATCCCCAAACTATCAACAACCGCGTGCCAACTGGTTCTGTAGCTGTGTTCTTTGTGGAAGTGAGCCGTGGAAATACATGTACCTGTTTATCTCGTCCGCTCGGCCTCTCTCAAGGCAACCCTGCTCTTTACATTTTCTTTCTTTCTGACTTATGTGTTGCGGATGTTTTGCTTGCGTGGTTGACTGCTCATGTGCTCGCCGGATGCCCTTGGAGGCAAGTGAGCAGTGGAGATCCTGGATTTCGAGCGCTATGAGGGTGTTAGGGATTGAACCCAGGTCTTGTCAGAGCCCCCTCCATACTACTGAGCCATCTCTCCAGTCCATGGGTTTTGTTAACTTTAGATGGCCACAGTTGAAAGTACCGGCAGGCAATTCCGGTTTAACATTTCCAAGTCCAGATATCCGTCTAATATTAATGAAGTCAAAGCATGAGCGTAATACTATTTAGTAGTGATGAATTAAGAAAGTCAATTTTCTTTACTATTTGCGTTTTGTTGTGAAGATGCTTGTCGGAATAATCAAGCAAAATTAGTCATTTTGTTTTGAAACGGGTAGCCATGAGTCTGCCCCAACACTGTTCATCCTCAAGTAAAAAAGCCAAATTGGTGGGAAGCAGGAAATGACTTTCAGGGTGGCCACATTGGAAAGAGGGACAAAGATCCCCAGTGACACCTATCCCACCCCCAAGTGGGTCTTTGGAGCCATGAAATGAGATTAGATTTAAAATAGAAAGCCAAGGATGTGCACATTTAAAATGCACGCATTTAAACAGCGGTCAAGGTGTGGCCCTGCCCATTATTGAGTCTCATCCGGTAAGGTGGTTGGGACCTCTTAAGGAAGATAAAGCCTCCCCTCTAGCTGGAGCCTTTTCCTTCTCCATAAGATTCTTGGGAAAATTATAATTTCTTAGGAGTTCATTGTTTCAATAGTCTAATAGAGAACCAAGAGCCTCTTAAAAATACCTTTGTTTTGGCCTGGCTGGGTGCCCCACCCCTTTAATCCCAGCACTTGGGAGGCAGAGGCAGGCAGATCTTTATGAGTTTGATGCCAGCCTGCTCTACAGAGCAAGTTCAAAGACAGCCTGGGGTACACAGAGACGTCCTGTCTTGAAAAATAAATAACAGACGGGAAGAAAGGAAAACCAAAACCAAGTAGCCAAACAACCAGGCCGGTTACAATTTTACATAACACCTGATAAGCAGCAAAAAACGCTATATAATGGTTGGCGAATGGTCGGTGGGGCAAGCCTTTAAATCCTAGCATTTTCCAGGCAGAGGCAGGTGGATCTCTGGGTTCAAGGCCAGCCGGTCTATATAGGACAGCCAGGGCTACATAGAAAAATCCTGAAACAAGCAAAATACCATGTAATTTATATGCATGCCGGAGCAATAAAATACCAATTATTTCATGAAAACAGCAATGCTGTCCCAGCAATACTGGAAGAAACTACAACAGGGCAAAAAAAAAAAAAAAAAAAAAAAAAAAAAAACTTGAAACTTCAATTTTGCTATCCCATCCCTTTTACAGTTAAGTCCCCAAAACTGAAGACTGTAGAAACTTTTATGAATTTGGCAAGGGGCTCAAAAGAAAACACTCTTATGATTTCATAGCTAAATAACATTGGTAAAAAAAAATTTTAAACACTTTTCTCTGGCTACCTTGGGTCCTCCGACCCACTAATTTCAAGGCCTTGATGGGAAAACAGATCTAACATTTGAACAACGAAGTTTTTCTCTTTGGTGTTATAGTCTTGTCTCTTCGGTGACAAGAAAGTGGGATCTTACTGGCTCAGCCACTTGGGTTTACTCATCTCAGATTATAGACATATACCTTCTCAGTTGGCTTCATTCTCAGTTTCAATAAAAGCAAAAATAGTCTGAAAACAAAAGTCAGATGCATAAAGGAAAGATGTATGTATTTTTGCTTTGGATTTTTTTTTTTTTTTTTTTTTTTTTTTGCTTGTTTGCTTTTTTGAGACAGGGTTTCTTTGTGTAGCTCTGTCTGTCCTGGAACTCACTCTGTAGATCAGCTGGCCTCAAACTCAAGAGATCCACCTGCCTCTGCCTCCTGGGTGCTGGTATTAAAGGTGTGCACCATCATGGCCTCCAGAATTTATTTTGGATTTTTAAAAGGTTCAATTTAAGACTAGTGGATGGTGCAGTGGGTAAAAGCACTGCCTCCAGGTTCTGCCCCTGAGTCCCACAAGACGAGCAGAGAGAAGCAACATTTATAAGTGTCCTCTGTGGTAGTTTGAAAGAATGTGGCCCCCAAAGGGAGTAGCATTATTAGGAGGTATGGCCTTGTTGGAGTATGTGTGGCCTTGGTGGTGGTGTACGTGTGTCACTGTGGAGGCAGGCTTTGAGGTCTCGTTCATGCTTAAGCTAAGCCCAGTGTTTCAGTTCACTTCATGCTGCCTTTGGATTATTATATAAAGACTCTTGGCTCCAGCACCATGTCTGACTGCTTGGCCACCATGGCAATAATGGACTAAATCTCTGAACTGTCAGCAAGCCACCTAAGTTAATGTTTCCCTCTATCAGCATGGTAGGGAGCATAGTGGCACATAGGCAGGCATGTTGCAGGAAGAACCGAGATTTTTACATCTGGATCTGTAGGCAGCAGGAAAAGAGAGACACTGGGGCCCAGCTTGAGCTTTTGAAACCAAAGCTCATCCCCAGTGACACACTTCCTTCAACAAGGCCTCACCTACTCTAAAAAGGCCATACCTCCTAATCCTTTCAAATATTGCTACCTCCTATGAGCCTACGGGGCACATTTAGAGATTGCATCCATTATCGAGCTGAGCAAAAGAATTTCTGTTGGAGGAATGGTGTAATGAACATTTATCAGAATGAGAAGGAAAATTGTATATTAGTTTATATTAGATAGACAACAGAAGAAGGAAATGGAGAGTTTTGGCTGGAAAAAGAAGAGAGATGATCCAGAAAGTCATGGGTGATGTAAGCCTTTAAGTCAGTACTCAGGAGGCAGAGACGGATCTCTGAGTTTGAGGCCAGCCAAGTCTACATAGAATTCCAGGCCAGCCAAGACAGCTTCTGAATTTAAGGTAGGAACAGCTTGAATATTATTTACAAATGCTGGTTGGTAGATCCAAAAGAAGAAAATGAAGATCCTACAAGTTATGAAGTAGAAGGAGCAAGTAGAGTTCCTGAGGCAGGTGAGATTGTTTTTAGACAGCTGCTACTGCTTCCTCCTCCTCATCTCCTTCTCTTCCTCTTCTTTCCTTTTTGTGACTCACCACTATGGAGTATATCTCCAGTGTTCCAGTCAGCTTTCTGCCACTGTGACAGAGCACCTGAAGAAGTAAAGCGAAAGGGAGGAAAGGTTGATTTGGGCTCACATTTTCCGTCTGCTCTTTGTTGACCCTATCACTCTCCGCCTGTAAGTACATAGAATATAGAGTAGATATTACAAGGAGGAGAAAGTCTGCTAGCTTCATGGGTGCTGAGAAAGGAAGAAGCTGGGGTCTCAATATTTCCTCAAGAACATACCCTCCCTAATGACCTACTGCCAACTAGGAAAGATTCTACCACTTCCCAGCAGTACTATCAGCTGGGGGACCACGAGCCTTTCGGAGACTCCAGGTTCAAACCCTAGCAGAAGGATTTACAAATCTGGAAGTGGATATAGTTGGGACAAGTTGAGAACAGAGTGTGTCTGGTGGAGTTGAGAATGCTTGAAATGGGCATTCTGGAAAGCAGAGACAACAGCTGCTCAAATAAACGCAGCTTAAGTTGAGGCCAATTTTTAGTAAGTTGTAAAGCACACATGCATGGATGGAAAAACGAATGTTTAAGTACAATGAAAAAGCGTAATAGGAAAATGGAAATCTCCCTTACTTCTGGTCTCACTCTGCCAGGCCATCATTAATGACAATTCATGTCTTTCTTATACATATATTTCTTGTTTTTTTTTTTTTTTTTCTAACTTTGAACTGTTGGGACTGGAAGGGTGGTTCAGTGGCTCTGTTCAGAATTCCAGATGACATGGGTTCAATTCCCAGCTCTGACATGGTAGCTTACAACTATAAATCCTGTCCCAGGGGATCTGCTTTCCTTTGTCCTGTAAGAGCACTAAGCACACATATGTTGGACCTGCTAGGCAAACACCCCCACACATAAAAATATATTAATCCACTTGGGAGGCAGAGGCAGGTGAACCTCTGTGAGTTTGAGGCCAGCCTGGTCTACAGAGTGAGTTCCAGGACAGCCAGGGCTACATTAGAGATTCTGTCTAAACAATGAAAGACCCGTAGAGCGTGGACCCTCACGCCCTGACTCAGGAAAGTCACCCCCCCCCCATCACTCACGAGAAGCGTTCTAGATGTAAAAGCATGAGGTCTTTTATATTCCAAGTGCACTGGGGTCCACAGTCAAGTGCCACGCAGGGGTAGAGGACTGAGGACCCTGAGTACAGAAGTGAGGCAGTTTTTATAGGGTTACAACAAAGCCCGCGCATTGTAAACCAATCATTTCAGCATCCAGAGCCCTCGAGGTGCGGACCAATCAATTTAAACCCTCCAAGCCGGT